TTCTAAAAATCCTCTTTCATATAGAGTTATACATAATGCAGAAAATAAAAATTTTCATATTTATTGACAACAGTTCAGACCCATAAATGTTAAATTTCCAAAGAAATAAACGCATTCAAAGGATGCCTACATTACTGTCACTTTCTTTACATGTCTGTAAAATCATAGCCAGCAGACATCAGCTAATAACTTTCAAATAATAAAGTGTATCATGCATGTTATTAGCACCAAGTTCCATGACATACTTGCAGATTGATAGTTACTTGACTGCTCCAGCACCAAATCTAAGTTCTTTTTCAAATTGTTCAGCTGTAAACGTTCCATCGATTCTTTCGCAATTGCGATTGAAAACAGAATAGGCACTGAGTTCCCCAGATCGTCTCCCACTGCTACTTAGGTTGGCATACATCACATAAAAAATACTCAATATTATATACACAGCAGCGAATTCTATGACCATAAATAATACCAATAAAGTAAACCATAATACGAATTTCAATACTCTTGTATGTTTCTGTAGGAATCTAATGTAATGACAATTTAAGGCAGATGGAGGTGTAGTCTCATGCTGGTTATTGTCACAGAGTACATGGCCCTGCAAAGCAAAAACAAATTTAATTGTATTATTAATTTAACATGAAATGCTAGATGCAAGTAAAATAAATATACGGTAACAACATCCTAAGCTGCCTCAGCATTCTTATTGTCGAAAACTTGACACCAATCAGCCTCCAGCAACCAGTTGTTCATTGACTCAAAGTCAATTTTCCTGAAGTTTAAGCAGAAATCCTTTTTCTGTGGTATCTCTAGATATAACATTGATTCCTACACAAGACCAACTTGGTCACTTTTGCCGATCAGTGTATTGTCTCACACATTATCACATGCATAAATTGCGTATCACCACAGTGGGGCGTAATAAACTCTGAACAGTTCAACATGTATTACTTATCATCACAGCAAAAAGCTGATTTGCATATCACTCATTTGCATTTGCATATGTTCAAACATAGACCCTATGGTTCAAACTCCAAGTCCCAGTCGGTTAATACAGTTACGTGCAAATCATCTGGTTACTTTAATCAGATTAATAAAACGTTTTACACCCTGACTCTCAATGAAATGTTTGGTTAATTAGATTGAAATGCACATAAATTGCTTTAGAAAAGTGCAGTCCTCTAATAAATGTCAAAGCATCGAATTACAAGTCAATAAATGATTAATGACCCCCCCCCCCCCTACTAACTCTATACACTGACTAGGAGCTTTATGTTCTATGGCTTTTAGACGTAGAGAATCAAATCTGTTCAAACAAGAAATATTATTGAAATGTTCACTCTTAAACATGATAAACAATGTTTGAGTGAAATTAGTTTTTAATGTTTCTTTCCTAGTTTTAGTGTATCACTATGCACTCGACTGGGGTTCTGAGAAATGTATAACATCTACCGTAGTTTCTATTTTTAGACAGTGGTTACATACAACCATAATAAATAGTTTGGTTGTCACATACATTTTTTCCACTTTTTTGTAGTTTGCATGATGGGTTGAGAGGTACAATTGCGTAAAGTGCAATGACCTATGGAAAGGAGATTACAAAAACTATATCACCACAGTATTATGTCACATACTGTCAAACTTTTTTTCATTGCGCTGACTGATTACTGTTCCGATGTTATATACGGTCTGTTAACTAGGGATTGTGATAACAATGTTTTATTTGTTTTATTTAAATTATTATTCACTCCCACCAAATAATTGGTTGGAATTGAGCAAATATTATCACAAATGAGTAGAATAGTCATACAATGTACGCAAGGCATTCACATGAATTAAAACACTGTGGCACAAACAGAAATAGCATACAATTTGTATTTCAGTAATAATATATAGTTGCACTGTCAAGACTCCACCATTTCAAAATGTCGTGCTGTGGAAATACGCATATGATATACAATATATAATCCCATGATATTTTCTCTTAGCTTAATGATATCACTATACACACAACTCTGATTGATACAAAACTCTAGTGATCAAGCACCTGGCATGAGTTAGGCAGTGAGCTTAAGACTGAGGAAATTGACAGCAAGACGGCTGAGAATCAATCTCCACCACTTAAAATAGGTGGATGGGGGTCTCATTTCAAGTGTGTTTGTTCGAATGAGTGGAGTTTCAACCAAAGCAAATGTTGTTATTTGAGATAACCATACTCAAGAAAGCAAACATAGATTACATTAATCATGTTTGTACAACATAACTGTGTCGTTCTACGTTTGAAAATCGAGGCCTGAAAACAGTTCAATTCAGTTCAAATGGCAATTGCTGACCATTAGACCAACTACACTGCTAACGAGCAGAAATTATAGCTTTATTTACAGGTTTAAACTATGGTTTATTGTCCATTGTACATGTTGTACATTTTCAAACAATTCAATATTAGCATAAACCCAGTCAATCAAAATAATACTACTCAGTGGGCACTCATCAAATTTTTTCACTTATTTCAGTGATTGTAGATGAGGTATAAATGAACAATAAGTCTTGCGGATTCTTATATAAATTTACGCATTCTAGAGATTTTACTGCCCGGATGTAAAAACGGACACCACATTCTAGTAAAACATACACGTAAACGTGTTCAACAAACCAGAAAAGTTAGGGACGACATCAAAAGGTCGATGTCGAATAAAAAACTTATTTCCTTTTTATTTATGGGTGTGGTGGTCGGGGGGGGGGGGGGGGTTGACCTCAAAAAGTTTCCATCCTACAAAAACGATTTTATTTTTTAATGAAGTCAAAAAAGAGTATTTGTAGTTCGTTTTGGTTCTATTCAATCATGGACAGAAATAACCGAAAAGGGACAGAAAAATGGTTTGGTTCGAGTGTAAATCTGTGTGTCAAATGAGGTGCATTTGTAAAATCTTTTTACACCCACCCAACAACCAACTGCTATGCAATACTACTGTCCGATTATCAATTTGTATTTAAGGTAGCGGGACTATTATTTGCTTACTTGTTTTCATCTTCTAATTGTGACCAAATGACTACAAATAGACCCAGGAAAGTATATATTTTTAGAATCGCCAGACTTCAAGCTTTGCAAAGGTGTGTTTGCCATG